TAAAGAGCTACAGAAAAATATATTTTTAAAATACATCATATTGTTATTATCTTTGCATATCACATTTACAAGCTGTTTTCTCATTTTTATAAAAATTAAAAATATTCTAAAACATCTAAAAATAATGACAAATTTATAATAAGAAAAGATATAAAAAATGTAGGGTATGTATATAAACTGAATTTGCTAAAGATTTTATGCGCTAATCTTAATTTAAGAATTATTAAATAAACAAAGAATATAAAAATTGTGCTCTTGAGATATTAACTTAATAAATAATTAACAACAGGAAAGAATATTATAAAATTAAGAATTATTTGAAGTGAAAGGTCAGATTGATCAAATCGGATATCGATTATTCAAACGATGGAAATATTTTTAAAAAATTTTGTTTCTACACATAAATTACACACGCATACAGAACAATTTCAAGCCGGAGATTATAAACAATAGTATTTTCACGTATTTTAACACTAAAATCGAATCCGATGCAAATTACAGATGAAGCAATTTAGAAATTAGATTTTAAAGTATCAAAATATTATGGTTTAATTTTAGTCAAATATTAAATTTGGTTTCGTACGTCTATGTTATCATTGTAGGCTAATTCTGATTAATTGTTAAAACAATTGTATGCATGGTACAATTTGCATACATCTCTTCAATTAAATACGACGTTTTTTATAAACTTACCAACCATTTCACGAAATCCAGAATATTTTTCAAAAATAAAAGACAAGGAAAGAAAAAGGATTAATAATTATAATCCCAGTCGTGAACGCATCATTATTCGAAATAGATTGTTATTAGCGATCGTCGAGTTATCAAGGAACGGTGGAGAAAATTGTCTGGTCTTCAAGGACGTTCATTACTCTCTAAACTACACGAGTACTTCACGAGCACCTCCTCTGTCTGGCGCCACGATAATGAATAACCGGTCAATGTCGCCGCACGCGAGTATTTTGACTCTCTTCGCTGCGGATAAAGTTTAATAAGTATAATGGAATGAAGATTGGCTTAGAAATGTTCATATAGCATATAAAGATACAGAAAATCACATTTTGATGGCCATTAAATTTATGATTTTGATACGAGTCTATACATAACATTATTCAATATTTAAAAGGGCCATCTTGCATCGATGGATACGAACATATTTGGATGTAAAACTTTGAGTTTTCATTTATTCTCAGAATCATTTGAATCAATTCTCTTTTCAAAAATTACAACTTTAGAATTTTTACAATGCAAATTTTTTTCTTTATTATTAGAAATGTTAAAATTTGAGATACTTAATATTTACAATGGCCTTTGTTCTTAAAGCTTTGTATCCAATTATTAAGTCTTTTCCTAATTACGATAATTAAAATTTTGTTTATAATCTGTAAGATATTATTCTCTATTTTCATTACAGAGTCCATTCAACGAGACTCGCAATAAAAATTGCTGCGAAAAAGCATTGAACTGTCAATATTGAATATTTTTCTTGTGGGAAGCAGATCAAGACATTGTTATTAATGTTGCCTTGTCCTCTGATCCAGCAACGATTGCATTGATAACAGTGATATTATTACGTTGGTTTAGGGTTCTTCCACATCTTGACAGAAAAACAGAAAAGCAGCAGCCAATCAGAACTCGTGTTAATAGTTCATAATTTCGGTTTTTTGTACTATTTACTACTAGCACGAGTTTTGATTGACTACTGCTTTTCTGATTTTAATCTGCTTTTCTGTCAAGGTGTGAACGCGCCCCTATACAAGAAGTATTATTAGTATCATTAGATTGCAAAAAGAGAATCATGGGATTGCTGTATTTACAAAAAGAAAGGACGATTCTTCGTATTTCTTTCAATATCTTTCCTTTATCAATTTAAACGGAAGTTTTTCTACGGCTTAAATTAGCCGCTCACTTGCTATAATCGAAAGGTATAATAAAATTAAGTTTTTTAAAAATCGAGATAAATTGTAAAATTTCCGACCGCAAGAATGTTCGGGTCACAATAATCAGAATATTTTTCATGGCAATAAATTTATTACAAAGTTGCTGTTAAAAAATGGCGATGACTGCACACAGCATTACATATAATATTTTTATAGTAAATATTATTTAGGATGCATGTCTTATACAAGATTTCTTAGAGATATCGTAATATACTTAAATGTTTTAGAAATGTACATACGGGAGAGTAAAGTAGAATATAATCGAGACCTTTACAGTCTACAAATGTGAGCAAATATCGCAAGCTATATCCGTATACAGGCTGCCGAGAAATTAATGTGCTTTCATTTATATTTCTTTCCTTTCATCGATAAACTTGAAACTTACTTTCCCGTAATCGCTCGTTCATCAAAAAGGCAAAGACAATTTTGAAGCACCTCGTATTATGTTTCTCGCGAGTTTCACGGAACGCTTACTCGCGCTTAGGGTAGAGTGTGCTTATTTCATATTGCATGGCGAGAGGAACTATCTCAAAGGACTGAGGTAATGTGAGAGAACGAGCTAATTGTAATCACTAAATAATATAATCGATGCTATGAAGAAAAAAACGAACTTTCTCGTTGATTGAGATATTTCCTTTGTCAGCCTTAAAATCTAGGGAACTTATAGAACTAGGATACGCGGAGACGCTGCCGTGACAAGTCGGTCCATCCATCGCAGCTGCGGGGCCCACTAGCGACTTTAAATGATCGTCGACCATTCTCGGACAAAGGCCCTGGCAGTTGCAACTTCTTCATCTACCTCTTCATCACAGAAGCATAACCGCGATAAAAACGCACGAAAGGGACTCTCAGTCAATGATTTTGGAGACTGTTAACGTTAGAACACTCGGATGCGGTCGATTAGTATCATCATTCATTATAACTATTATAAAAATAGCATTGTAGAATTAATTATATAAGAATTAATTATATATTCACAAATCACAATTTTGCTATTCTTGATTTCCATCCTATTTTATCATCTAAAATCATTCCTTGAATTTTATTTTGCCTGTTGCTAAACATCCTGTACATATTAAATATTTCTTAAGTTTATTCTACAAAATAGGTCGCAAGCCATAAGCTGTAAAAATAATAATAACCGTAAAAAATTTGCTAATCAATTGATTATTTTTTTCGTATTTAACTGTGATTGATCAATTTCTTACGGCTTACGAACGACTCGTGTATCGTATTGTAGAACAACCTTTAGACATTAAAAGCGATAAGAGAAATTCCGACTGTTCCAGTGTTAACTAAAATATATATTATAATAGGTAATAAAAAAATTTTTAATAAATCCCCTTTGGCGATTAAATTAATCTCTGATCAATACAGATCTCGTGACACTATGAAATAACATTTCTTTACTATATAAAAAGATTTATTCTCGTATGTCACATGAAATCGCACCATATCGATTCATCGATCGACGATCTCTGATGTTTATTATTCTAAAAAATTGACGGAAAAATTACCGGCATGTATAGGAAAGTATAGTGAATTATTTCTGTGTTACAATGCAAATCCTTTTATGGATCGAGAACGTGCGTGTTAAAACATACTTTCAGTCAAAGTATAATATTTGTTGCGGTTAAAATATTTGGGATCTGAGTCTTCACAACGAGTGCGATTCGAGATTTTCTTACTGGAGATCAAAGATCAGAGATCAGGGATCGAGGGTCTGTCGCGGGTACATTCTCGACATGTGCACAAAGGTGGGTACAATTCTCATTATACAAGATATTCAGTTGCAAAGACACGTATCAAGATGCGCACGTGAGAGAATCATTGTCAGTGTCAACTTAAAATCAATCTCCAGGTGTGCCGATATCGCATCGGGATCAGACATCTCTTTAATTTTGTGTTTCATCAGGCATCATTCCTATTTTATCTTATAGCCATGATCATGAAATGACGTCCAGACAACACTAAAATCAACGTTCAAAACGCCTTTTAGATGTTTTAAAAAAGATCTTATAAAGATGTTTTTAAAATGTCTTTTAGACATCTTGATTTTGAACTTTATGTTATCTATAGGAAAATATAAATATTGCGTCAACGTCATATTATATTTTGCATAAGAAAAATTACTAATCTTTCTGTGACACTGTTAATGACTGCCATCAACAGAAACAGTAGCTTTACAACTCTGTGTGGTACGTGTGTGCGCGCGTGCGGGCGTATTGTATGATTTTTAAAAATATGATTGATTTATATATTTAAGGGAATATATTTATATAATATATATTCAGTACACACAGTAAGAAGAAGAACCAATCATATTAAAAAATCTTACAACAATTGCAAAGCTGCTTTTTCTATTAAATGTAACCAATATTACTTTAAAATTTAAAATCGTCCAAGTCGATGCGTGTCATGCACACAAACACGAGCTTCTTTTATGCACTGAAATATATGTATTTTTAGTAACCCGCGAGAGTAGCTGCGTTCTCATTTCAAATATGCTAGCTATTAGCTGGTAAAGAAAAACGTTCGAATCGGTTGCTACGATCATCAAAGGCCATCGAGCAGCACTGCATACAAAAGTTTGTACTTTCGCCGTTCAAAGAGTAACTTTCATCTGTCAGCGTTTCGCAATGACTGAGCATCGAGATTTGACTTTTTCGTGCGTCGGTTCCCGGTCGACCTTTCGGTTCTCGGGTCGGTGGCACACGCAGGTTGCCTTGGTCGAGCGAATTCTTCCTTAGATCCTAAATCGTCGTTCTTAAAATTAATTGTTGAGGCAGTTGAGTTGGCAAGAGCAAAAGTATCAGTCGTATTTGTCTCATCGACGACGATGCTGAAACCACCTCGAAGAAATCCGCAATTTTCTGACTCGCCGTCGCTGCGGAATCAAATCTTTCTGAAGGAGGAAACAATAGTAGTTTTCATAACCCATCATTAGCTGACATTGAATGGTCTAGACTAGACCATTGTCTAACAGACAACCGTAATAAAGATATCGCGTGGGTTTGCAGCAGAACGAATTATTCTTGATTTGTGAAACATAGCATGGATTATAGGTGAAGAAATGAGTCCAGCGGCGTTGCGTGATCTCCCCTTGTGTCTCGCAACAATTCGTCGATTCGTCTTCCTTCCTTTCACTTTTTCCGTTATCACGGTGTTCACAATGCGAGGAACTTCATCAGGGCATCATAGATGAGTTGGGGACTGATGGTACCATCAGCGGTATATCTGACGCCGCGTAACGAACCGTCGTCGTGACTGACGACGCCATACTCGCCCACGATAAAGCCATCCGGCGTTCTCTCCTCGACCCTATACTTTCTATAGTTTCTGCCCTCCACTACGTAGCCGACCTTGTGACCGTCCTCCGTCGCACCTGGGGTTTCCTCCGTGACAACCAATTGCGGCCCGTGGACATTGCCATTGCTGCCAACGCTGACCGACTCGTCGATTTCATAATTCTGCTCGTGAGGCTCAACGCTTTCTTGATGATCTACTGGTTGGCCCTCGGAGTCGTACACCTTACTAGGTTCGCCATATACTTTAGCCGGCTGCGAGTAGATTTTGGCCGGCTCGGAGTAGATTTTAGCTGGCTCCGAATAGATCTTGGACGGTTCAGAATAGATTTTTTCCGGTTCGCCATAGACTTTGGCCGGCTCGCTATAAACTTTCGCAGGCTCGCTGTAGACCTTGGCTGGTTCGCTATAGATTTTAGCCGGCTCGCTGTACACTTTAGCCGGTTCTCCATACATACGCTCTGGTTCACCGTACATTTTGGCCGGCTCGCTATATACTTTAGGAGGCTCGTTATAGGTCCGCGAAGGTTTGTACGCTTTCGACTGACTGTATGTCTTTGGGCCTGATCGGTTATAAAGTGACGCATCATAATGACGTCCCATCTTGCGCCCTTGAAGCCGATCCGTTGAGATCTCCGGTACTTCCTCATTCAACTCTTGTCGTTCCGAGTTCTCTACGGGTAGTTCGTAATTTTCTTCCGTCGGTAGAGTAATCGCGTCAACATCGATGATCCGCCCAGCCTCATTAACTTCTTCGTCCTGATGATTGTTCTCAATTCGTGGTGTCATGGTTACGCGGCCGCGCCAACTCGTTCTCGGTGAGTCTTCATCAACGGAGAATTCGCTCCTGTTCGATTCCGAAACGATATTGCTGAGTTCCTCAGTAACGAATCGACCTGGTGGTGGTGGCGTTATTGTAGTCGTTGTAGTTGTGGTCGTCATTGTTGTCATCGTAGACGATAATGGCGTCGACGGTCTACTGTTACTCGTCGAACTTCTAATTGATTCCTTGGTTGATTCTTTAGGAACTTCTTTATTCATCGTAGAGTCCAAACTTGGTGGTCGCATAACTACCACGGCGTCAGCGCTATCGTAATGCTCGACACGCACTTTGTATGGCGTGGCCTCGACCGTGGATGTGACGCTGACACCGATCACCTTTTGCCGGCTGATACCTTTGCCGATAGTTCCGTTGGTCCCGTTCGATCTTGAGATTGTTCGATCTTGATAGGTCAACGTCGGCGCGCTCGTCATAGTCGTTGTTGCTGCGCTCGAAGACGTTAGATGCGTCGAACTTATGCCGCCCGGCGTGCTCAGGTCGTCGATCAACGATGCTAGATTTTGCTGCCGATTTTCCAATGTTTTTTGATTTATTGGATAAAAACGAACGATCTCCTCGCGACCGCTCGTGTGTGGCCTCGACACCGAAATCGGTCGACCGCCGCTCGGATTCCGAGATATTCGGTAGATCGAGGCTTCGTGTTGGTGCGATTCGGCGGTCGCGCTGTCACCCGCTGGTGCAGCCGCGAGTTGACCACCACGCGGTCGGAAGCCCCGGCGTCGTTGCGGCGGAGTCGCCATTGCGCCGTTTATGAAGACTGAAAGGAATTCCGAACCGGCAACTATGTCGCTCTTCTTCGCTGGAGCGCCATGAGTTTCTTCCCAAACTAGTGCCGCCTGAAGCAGTACCTGAAAAATCACACAATTGTTCAGAATTACAATTTTAATTAAAAGATCATTTATTATTGTTTATTTCATAATATATATAAAATTAGGAACATTAATTTTCATTTCGTTTCTTAAAGCTGTATAATGTTATTAATTTTGTAAGGATTAAAGATTTATAATGAGCTACATATTTAAATAGAACATATTCTTAAAAAAAATTTTAATAAAAAAATTACTTAGAAAAATTTATATTTTCTATTTAATGATTATTCCTATGACTGACATTTTAATTCAGGGGAAATATAATTTCAATTTCTTTAACGGAATATTTTTTAATACAGTTTATTACCACATATTATAAAGTTTATTATCGAATATCTCAAAAAACCCCGCATTAATTATAAAGGAAATTAAGTTTCGATGAAATGTGTTTGTTTTCACGTCATAGTTTCTAATACGGCGAACAATGTAACGGGCACAATAATATGGATATAGTTTTTGAGCTGTGGCATTGTTTATACTTTTGATACATGTATCATAGCTCATGAGAATTATTGGTTACTAAACATTTTGTTTAATACATTTCTGTTTGCTATTACAGTAAATTACAACATGTAAAGTTATTTCATTGGAATTTAATTAATATGAGGTCTTTTACGATTAAAAATTTATATTAAAGCTTCTATTATGCTAAGACGAACATAATCGTAATGAAGAGAAGTAGAAAACATCAAACATTTAACTTTTCCAGGTGTAAAAATTTTAACAGCATTTCATCACTGAGCGATCGATTCCACATTAATACAAATTCTAAAAGAACTTTTTAGAATTTTACAAGTCTTTTTATATTGAACAAAATTTGAATTAACTCTTTAGAATTAAAAGATTTAAAATTTTCGTAAATTTCACTTAAATTCCACTTAAAATATATGATTTCATAAATTGTAATCTTTTTTTCGTTCTTTCATTGGATCCTTGTTTTTCAAACGTTTCTTTTTTATGCTTAATTTTTTACCTTCTTCATTACGATCCCGTCGTATTATAATTAAAATCCTAAAACAAATTTTGTTTAAAATGAATAATAAATAAAACGTAAATGAAATTTGATTACTGTAATATCCAAACAAAGAGCTCGGATGTAACATTTATACAGGAAATAACATTTTAATTGTTCATCTTTTGTGGCATCGTTAAACGCGTACAGAACCTTTGAACAAACTTGCATGTTTTTTATTCCATCCGCCTTCCTTCCTAAAAATGAAAAATAAAACCATAAACATCGCGATGTTGTCGGATCCACGTCAAATCTGCGACGATAAACTGTTTTATGCATTCCGCGTTTTGCGCAGAAAGATGCAGGCAAGAGTATACATTCGTGCGATTTATAAATTACCCGCAACTCGTAAAGTTCCCTAATGACACTCACGATAAAAATCTCATACATTTTTACAGCAAACTCGTCGTGGATACTCTCGACTTCGAAGCGCAATACATACCTCTGTGAAGTTGGCACCTCATTTTTAAAAAAATGAAATTTTCGACAGAGTTCTGAATGCACCCCGAAGAGTTCTGAAGTTCCTGCCTAAAATAAAAAATAGTTCTGGCGAATTAACACTAAAAATCGAAAATTAAAAATTTGGGGTGCTAACTTCACAAAACGCATAACGAAAAATTGCGATATCTTCTAAATCATTAGTCATAGAGCTTTAAATGCTAATAACTTTTGGTAGAACTCTTGGGGTACTATCCAGAACTGTCAACAGAATTGCCGTAACGATAAAAAAAAATTTTTTTTTTAAATATAAAAAATCGTGATATCTTCGAAACCGTTAGAACTAGCGCGTTGAGTATTAAGAACTTTCGTCAGAACTCGATGGGTGCTACCCAAAACTGTCGACAGAACTCCCGTAACTCTAAAAAATGTTTTCACCACGGGACTCAGAAATTTTACGAAAAATCGCGATATCTTCGAAACCGTTAGACCTAGCGCGTTGAGTATTAAGAACTTTCGTCAGAACTCGTCGGGTGCTACCCAGAACTGTCGACAAATTCAACTCACAGTGTGGCTGTGCTGGATGGCGTACAAGAGTAAAGTACATTAAAGCAATCAATTGCCGGGATCATTTTGGTCTCAAAGTGTTTCTAGAATTATTTGCTCTAAGAATATCCAGAATCCGATATTTTGCTCATCGTTTACGTCGAAAAATTCGACCCGCAGTGTGGCTGTGCTGACTCGCGTACAAGAGTAAAGTACATTAAAGTAATCAATTGCCGGGATCATTTTGGTCTCAAAATGTTTGTAGAATTATTTGCTCTAAGAATATCCAGAATCCGATATTTTGCTCATCGTTTACGTCGAAAAATTCGACCCGCAGTGTGGCTGTGCTGACTCGCGTACAAGAGTAAAGTACATTAAAGCAATCAATTGCCGGGATCATTTTGGTCTCAAAATGTTTCTAGAATTATTTGGTCTAAGAATATCCAAAATCCGATATTTTGCTCATCGTTTACGTCAAAAAATTCGACCCACAGTGTGGCTGTGCTGGATCACGTACAAGAGTAAAGTATATTAAAGCAATCAATTGCCGGGATCATTTTGGTCTCAAAGTGTTTCTAGAATTATTTGCTCTAAGAATATCCAGAATCCGATATTTTGCTCATCGTTTACGTCGAAGGATTCGATCCACAGTGTGGCTGCGTGCTAACTTAAGACTAAAGTTGGCACAGCCACAAAGAAAAATAGCAGCAAATGAAAAATCAAGTACATATTCTTGAAGGGCTTTTTTTTGCTAATTTAAATTCTACTTCAAAAACATTAAAACCAAAATCCCTCTTATATTCCATTCGCCAGATTAACGAAAACAGATTTTAGAAAACTGAATCGAAACGCCATTTTGAACTTTCAATTTTTAAATACGGATTCGTAACGAACGCCCCCTAAATCACCAATAAACCTAATTTCACCAAAATCGAACAATCTTTATGATTTCCTTTACTTTTCTTCCGTCTGTCATATTGGATCAACTATTTCGAACTTTCAATTTTTGAGAACGGATTCGTAAGGAACACCCCCTAAATCACCAGTATATCTAATTTCACCAAAATCGAACAATCTTTAGGATTTACGTTAATTTTACGTCCGCCATATTGGATCCACTATTTCGAATTTTCAATTTTTGAGTACAGATTCGAAATAATCGACCCCGAAGATCCCCGAATACGAAACCACATCAAAATCAGAGAATTCCAGCAGCCTCAACGAAAAGAGGCTTCAAAAAAGCGTGACACGCCAATTTTAAGATATGATGAAAAGTTAGATTGTACTTTATTTATTTTTTATATATTCAAAAATTGATCTACAGATCAATTTATACAATAAAAAATTGACTATGTCCTTAAAATCTAATATTGCCAGCAGAGAGATTAATAAATTCTTTAACTTTTTGGAATTAACGATGCAGCCCCTTAATTATAAATCTCTTTAGTAAAATTGTCAAACAGAGTTAAATTTGCTTTATGTTATATACAAATTTGAATTATTCTTATAAAAATATACTTAATACTTATTTTTTTAAATACGAATAATGTCATTTTGATTGCTTGACATTAATTAATATCTTTTAATTACATAAATTAAATGAGTTTAATATAATAGATTCTACGTCAGTCACTATATTATACATAGAAATAGAGATAAGAAGAATTAGAGCTTCGAAGGTTAAAACAAAGATCTTGATAAAACTTTACATTATTCTATATATTTTAATGCATTTTACATGCGCGACAAAATGACGAATGACTCTTCCAGATCTTAATCAATTTATTATAGCGCATTCTACGTTATCGCTTATTTATGTACCATTCTAATAGCCACATATGACTTTCAGTTTCAAGCATAAATTATGTATTGCCCAGAGGACGCGGGTAATTATCGTCAATTCTAATTTTTAGTCGCCAGCTTATCGATCGTGTTTTTAATCGATTTCCTCTCACTGTAGTTCTATTATACCTCCTATTCACTGTGTGGTTCTATACCTATCTATATAATAAGAGATACGTGGCTATTGCAAGTGTAATAAGATACCTGTGCGTGCTCGAGTTCTTTGTAAACGCGACCTTGACGAGTCCCGCAGGTATAAGGAGCCAACGTCACGAATATAATATTTATGTGAACGGTTTATCGGGATCCTCGCTTTGGAAAGATACGCGCACAGTACAAGCAAAATTATCATTCAAACATAAAAATTGTACGTCTAATAATGCCGGAACCATTACACGCCAGGGACTTGCATTTGCAAACAATGGCGAGCCATTGCATCGATATGACGATCGACGGAAAGGAAGCAGAAACGTCGCGCGACGTTATCTATAAGTGAGATCTCGGAACAAAACAGGTATCGATATTTGTACGGAGCGCGAAGATCCAGGTAATAATCAAGGGGAAAAAACGCTTCATTAACTGTTTACATTTATGCAGTCCTCGTCAGAATTCAGGAATTTCGTGACTATTTATGAGAACCTTGAAGCAATTTTAACCATTTTTCTTCGCCATTAATGATATCCACATTCGAAATACTTGTGTACGTAGGAACACAATCTATACATTCATACATTATGATTATACATTATGGTCATTGTGGAGGCTACGTGACTTCGGTCGTGCGAACTTGAGCGATGGCTTTCGCGCAATGACATACAGTCTCGATGCGAAAATGTTGACCTTCGTGACACTCTAGAAACTGATCGTTTCTTGAAAAACGGACAATTGATTTTCAACGTACCGACAGCAAAAGTTGAAAAAAATTCAGGGATTCGCGCGGAAGGACATACCTCGGACGCGAGAAACGAGAGAGCGATCGTAATGGGTCGTTCAACACTGTGAGTGTTTCAAGTATTCGGCGACCATCTCAACAGCAATTAGGCGTGCGTGCTTCTCACGTGCCGGGAATCCACGTTCAGGAGATAGCGGCCACCGCCAATGCGCGCAGACATAAACGCTTAATTTATCTCTTATTACGCGA